GGCGTGACGGACGGCGGCATCATCCTCTCCGGCCACACCGACGTGGTGCCGGTGGACGGGCAGAAGTGGGACACCGACCCGTTCGTGATGACAGAAAAGGACGGGAAGCTGTACGGCCGCGGCACGTGCGACATGAAAGGCTTCGTCGCGGTGTGCATGTCGCTGACGCCGGAGTTTCTTGCGATGAAGCGGGCGAAGCCGATCCACTTTGCGTGGTCGTACGACGAGGAGGTGGGCTGCCTCGGCGGCAAGGTGCTGACGGAGTTCCTGCACGACAACAACATCAAGGCGGACGGCTGCATTGTTGGTGAGCCGACGTCTAACACGGTGGTCATTGCGCACAAAGGGCGTGGTTCTTGGCGGATTCGCGTGTACGGCAAAGCTGTGCACTCGTCGTACGCGCTGACGGACCAGGGCTGCAACGCCATCGACTACGCCGCGAAGCTTATCGTGAAGATACGTGAAATTGCTGAGGACGTGAAGTTTCATGGACCCGTTGACCGGTTTTTTGACGTTCCCTTCTCAACTGTATCGACAAATATTATTCAAGGTGGTAACGCTGTGAATACCGTTCCTGCACTGTGTGAATTTTTCTACGAAGTGCGGAACCTGCCAGTCGTGGAGGCTAAGTCAATACATCAAAGGGTCCAAGCTTTTGTGGACGGTGAGCTTCTTCCTGCCATGAAAAGGGAGTTTCCTGAGGGGCGCATCGAGATTGAGGAGTTAAGTTATGTTTCCGCTTTTAAGGATGCCGATGAGAAGGATCCGTTTACTGTATTGTTGCGTCGCCTGGCCAAGGATTCCGCGGTGCGGAAAGTAGCCTATGGCACCGAGGCTGGTCAATATCAGGGTCTTAGTATGCCTGTAATTGTCCTTGGGCCGGGATCCATTCTGCAGGCACACCAGCCGAATGAGTTTGTGACCCTGGAGCAGCTCGATGGGTGTGCAAACATTCTTCGCCGGGTCGTTCAATGTGATACGAGCGGTGCGAAACCGCACCTCTGATCACTGTCGAGTGATGACAGGGAAGTAGGAGGATCGGTTTGTTTGTATGGTGCACTGACTCTGTTTTTATTTTTACTGTGGAAAAAAAATATATGGGGTGACGTTCGCCGATGGCAAAACAGTCGAAGTGCAGTTTTTTGTATTTTTTTCAGGGAAAGAAAGAAGAGAAGAAAAAGAGAGAGGACACACTAATTTTCCCTCATGGGTACTTTTTCTTTAGGACTTCATTCTTGTGATGCAAGCGTTGTGGGGGGGGGGTAACCCCCGGGTGTCAACCGAAATGAGCTTGTGCATTGTGGTGCTTTCCTGCTCTGTGAATGGTACGAGACTCTTGATTGATCTTCAAACACGATTTGTTGTGCTGTGCAAGGCACCCTTTCTATCTTTCCCCACAACCCTTTCTTTGCTCCTTCCTTTGGTCTCTCTCAAATATTACAGTAGATATGCAACAAGACCTCCCAGAGTGCTTGCGTGTTGTTTCGGGGCAAAAGACTCGAGGCGATGAGGCGCTCGCAGCAGCGTTGGAGGACATACATCGTTTTGTCTTTGGTGGAGACGATGATTCGACGGAAATACCGACGCCGTCTAAGCTGCTTTCATTTAGTGAAGCTGCCGTGGGGCGTGTTGGTAGTCACTTGGGTAAAAGAAAGCTGTCTGAATTGGCGCGTCTTCCCATCGTTGTGGTGATTGTCGAAGTGCTCGCTCGTCTCGCGCGAGTCTTGTTTTGGGGCATGGCTGCTCCCCCTGGAAAGGCTCCGTGCCGTTGTCGAAAGACTATCGAGAGTGACGTAGAGGAGCTGGAAGAGATACTTCTGCCACGATTCTTTTTGAAACTGTCGGTGCGTCCTCAAACTTTGCGAGACGTCTTGATGAAGTCACCCTGGGACGCCTTCTCACACCGGTATGGCACGGGGAGTACATCTCCAGCTGAAAGCTGTGAGAGTGCTCCTATTGAGGTGGTGACCGCACTTCGTAGGCTGAAAATTAACTTTGGGTGTGACTTTCTCTTTCACATACGCGTTAATGGTGGTGAAATTAAAACTAATGCCACATTGACGGAAACTGTTACAGAAGCTGATGGACGATTATCGATGACCCCGTGGGACACACAGGGTGACTGTTCGACCCCTAATGATAAAGGAAACGAAGAAAGTAAGGACTGTGTGGGTATTAGGCGTGCCTGTTCTCCCTGTACAAGAAGTAGCACTCTGGCTCCTGCTTTCGACATGGGCGCGGCACAAACTGAGCCCCAGGAAAGCACGGTACACAGAAAAACTTTGGTAGCCCCAGTGCGTGGGTCATGTGCAGTTCAGCCGGCTTACCCCCGTCACAGCCTCCCCGCATACATGCTGACCAGACGACGTTCTGGAACCTTATCAAACGTGGAGATGGGGGGCGGCTGCGTGGAATCCGTTGGTCCTGAGGCTGATCAGCATTCTTCACTCTCGGACGAAGACAGTACATCTTCCGAGGAGATTGACAGAGACGCTGAAGTGTTGGCACCAGAAACACCAGTGAAGAAAAGAGTGCGAAGGGACAACGGCGCTGTTCCTCCTTCACCGTTTCGTCCCACGGACAAAACAATCTCTCTGTCGCATCATTCCAAAGTAGAAGAAAAGTTGTGATTTGGTGGAGGGTGGCGGGTGGTTGTTGTGTTTGTTTGACACAAATCCCTATACACCACAGCGTTTTGTCTGCCTTCATGATAAGTTTTTTTTTTTTTTNTTTTTTTTTTTTTTGGCTCCGCCACAACCAAAGGCGTTCTGCTAATTCATTTCCTTTTCTTCTATCTTTTCTTTGTTTATCTCTTTCGTGGTTTCATTTTATTATTATCATCAGCGGCGCATAGTGTGCACAGGTATACTTTACTTTTCGCCAAGCGAGAACATTTTTCTTTTTTGAAAGGATGGACATGCGTGGCTTGGCTCACTTTATCCAAGACGTGCGTAAGGCGACGAGCAGTCCAGCTGAGGAGCGCAGGCGCGTCGACTTAGAGTTGGTCAAGATCCGCTCAAAGTTTCGGGACACAGCTAAGATGAGCACGTACGACCGGAAAAAGTACGTCTGTAAATTAATGTTCATTGCCATGTTAGGGTATCCCGTTGAATTTGGTCATATGGAGGGGATCAACCTGCTCTCACTAACATCCCCGGCAGAAAAACTCATTGGGTACCTCTCTGTCGCAGTTTTCCTCCACGAAAATCATCCTCTACTGATTCTGGCCACTCACATGATATACAAGGATCTTCTGTCAGAGCAGGAGTTTAACATGAGTTTGGCCCTCACAGCGATTGCCAACACCGGCGGAAAAGACTTCGCTGAGGTTATGTCTTTGGGCGTGAAAACAATTCTTATGAGCGATCGATGGGATGTACATATTCGAAAAAAAGCTGTTCTGACATATTTGCGTATATACCGCAAGTACCCTGATTTCGCTGATCTAATGGAGGTCGTTCCTGTAGTCATAGGCCTCGTTCTTAGTCCATTGTTTGGTATGAGTGGCTGTGCCGTGGTGTTTCTCACAGGTTGCCTCAACAAAACAAATATTCACCTTTTTCAGTTGATTCCCTGCAAGATCATTGAACTGCTTGAAAAAATTATCTTGGGAAAGCAGACAGAGCCCGGATACGTTTACTATGGCGTTCCTGCGCCATGGCTACAGGCGATGTCAATAAGACTTTTAAGAAAGTTCCCTGCTCCTGTGGACTCACAGCTGAAAGAGAAGGCGCTTCGTGTGTTGCGAAGTATTGTACAGGCAACGGATAGGGTGTTGCGAGATGCGCAGACGCAGCAGAAACAGAAGGGTACCATGAACCGTGTCAGCGCTATGAATGCAGTGCTATTTGAAGTGGTCTTGTTGGTCCTTGAGTGGGACGTCGACACCAAGCTCCGCACCGAGTGTCTGGACCTACTCGCTAGCTTTGCTGCAGAGAAGAAAGAATCGAACTTGCGTTACCTTGGTTTTAGTTTGCTGTCGCGAGTGTGTGCCCCAAGAGGTTCTCGCAATGAGTATAGGCTGTACTGCCGGCAGTACCAACCGCAAATAATCGTGGCTCTACATGATCCCGACATCTCCATTCGCACAAAAGCACTGGATGTTACTGTGAATATGTGTGACGCGGAAAGTGCGAGCGAGGTTATTGGGGATCTGCTGTCGTACCTCCCAATTACGGATGGTGCATTCAAAGAGAGTATTGTACTTGCTATTGCCCATTTGGCGGAGAAGTATTGTACTGACTATGGGTGGTATGTGGACACTGTCATCTCCATCATTGCACAAGCTGGTAATCTCGTTCCGCAAGAGCTTGTCTATCGCGTCGTGCATGTAATCATAAATCACTCTTACGTTCAGAAGAGGGCGGCAATGAGCTTGTTCAGCACACTGATGAACCGTAAAACTGTCCCTGATGTCCTTTTGCGTGTTGCATCCATCGTTCTGGGCGAATTCGGATATCAAATCGCACTGAATCCTGAAAGTACACCACTTATGCAAGTGACTGTCCTCCAGAATCANCTCAATGATGCGTCCGAAGAGGCCCAGTCTCTAGTATTGAGTGCATTTGTAAAACTTTACAACTACTACGATGGTCTCGTCCGTGAGAAGATACTAAAGGCTCTCCGTGCATACAGGACTAATTTTAATGTTGAGTTGCAGCAACGTGCCATGGAATACGTCGGGCTCATCGAACTGGGCAACGACGACCTTTTGCAAAAGGTGTTGGAGCCTTTGCCGTTTTTTGAGGGTGATACGTTCGCCACCGTATTGGATGGGCCCTCTCAAGCAGTGGTGGGTCTTGTACCACAATCGGCCGGGACACAAAACAGAAGAAGCAGCCAAGATGCATCTACAACAAAACAACCGTCGAATCAAACGATTCTTACCGGTTTGCTTGAGATGAATCATGATGTTTCGTTGAAGTCGGGATGGACGAAAGACACCGTCATGGAGGCACTGTTTGAAGTGAGCTCGGCTGTCCAGTTAGAACGCATTACAAGGGAGAGTGAGGCGGTGCATCAACTCTTCTTGTCACTCCTTACTAAACCGAATGGTATCCTGTACTCTGATGAGACTGTAGAACTTTACTGTGAGCAGCAGTACCGGGGTGCCGATGCACGTCTTACTCTCACGGTCCGGGCTAAGGCAGCAGCTGTGTTGCGAAACGTCCTTTTAGAGATTGTTGGAGCAGATGCTGGGCTTCTGCTGCAATCGAGGCATAATCACGGTGATATCCCCACTGGTGGGGCTTTGCGAGTAGATTTCGTTGCCAGGTCGTGGGCACCGTATCAGCAAGCTCCTACCATACGCCTTTTCCACGAGGGATTTGGTGAATTTGCCCCCACGATGAAGGTTCTCTCCCTCCCCATCACGACTACTCGATTTCTTGCTCCATATGATAATGACGATGATGATGATGAGGGGGGGGTGGCGTATGATACTTTGTGCAGCCAACTGAGCACCGCTTCGTTCACAATGCGTCACATTGACGCTGGTTTCTCTCTACACAAAGGGGTTCTTGAGCGGGTACTAACTAGCATGGGTTTCCGTACTGTTCGTGTCGCCAGCAGCAGGGAGATCAAGGCCATTGCGGCCCACGCAACTCAGTCTCACGGTACGCTGTCTTTTAGTCCCGTTGTTGTAGATATAATCGTTTCTAGCGATGGCGGGGCAGCCACAAAGGTGTTATCGCAGAGTCCTGTCCTCCATTCTGCTGTCGCGGACGTCTTGGAACAGCTGTTGCTCGGCTTGGGGAAAAACACAGTCGAAAATGGCGTGCATGATGGTGGCGATGCTCTGTCTACCAGGACTGAGGATTTCTTTCTTTCGTAAAGCGTGGCATGCTTTGGTCCTGATGGCTGACGTTGGTGTTGGAAACGTGCAAGTGCTAACACAAAGAATCTTTTTTTTTCGGTTTTTGAGGTATATATATATATATATATATATACTTGATTTCCATTTTCTACGTGACGTGCAAGCATCAAGATTTTCGTTCCTTTTTTTTCACCGTTAGCACTGAGCAAACATGGCTGGGAAGAAGGCACATCCCATCAAGCGGGATTGGTACTGGAATCACAACGATCGCTACGAAATTTGGCACAGTCTCGACTGGCCTTCTGTTCGTCGTGGGCGCCAGATCTACACGGAGGTGTTTGCTCCATGTCATCCTTTGGGTCGCATGACCTTTACGCACTTCCAGGGATTCATGACCCGCGAGGAAATCAAGCAGTTGGCTTCTCAGTATGAAGTAATCGATTCCGAACCCGACGCCCAGGGTATGTTGAACCCCCGCCCTGGAAAGCCGACAGATACACTTCCCCTGCCGTTCCCAAACCAGCGTGCCGCGCAGTTTGCAAATAATGGTTCAGAGCCACCAGATCTGCAGCATTCCGTATTTGGTAAGGATGGCGGTCCTGACTACATCTTTTCTCTACTTACAGGTTACAACTGGGGCAACGGAGAGCTTCTCGAGATACCGCCGTTCGCTCCAGAGCTGAAGCCAGGACAATTCTGGAATCCGTACTTCAAGGACTGCGTCCTTTCCATGCCACCCCCACTCTCAGATGGGATGGTGGACTTCGAGGATGGCACACCCGCAACAACGAGCCAGATGGCGAAAGATGTGGTAAGTTTCTTGCGTTGGTCTGCAGAGTCGGAGTACGATGACCGCCGTGTCATGTTCTGGAAGACGTTCACTACTCTGGGCCTTGTGAACTGCATCCTTCTGCACTACGGACAGAAGAATACCAACTGGCGTATCTACGGACGGACAACCTTCCGTTACTGGAAGAAGACTTGGTAGTGAAGCCGTGTTTCTCTTTTGAGGTATGTAATTCAGCCTTCTTTAGTTTAGAAGGATGGTGATATGGAAGTGAGCAGGGTGGGTGGGAGAGGGAGAGAGAGAAAGTTTGTTGTTGAATTGGCTGTCTATAGTATAGCATGTAGGGATCAGTCTGAAACGTATAGGGGAGGAATAGCAGCGGTTTCCACTGCGCCAGCAATCTGCGTTGTGGGTGTTCACTGGCGTGTAGCACTCGTGGTTTTTTTTTCTTTCTGCACAGGCAGAAGGGTTCTGTTTCTTTGTGTTCATTGTGAAGGAACTGGAGGGTTGTTCGAGATGGACGCTTTTTTTTTCTTTTGGCTGTCACTGTTGTTGTTGCTGTTCTCTGCTACCATTTGCTCTTGACACGTGAACAAAAAAAAGCGTGGGCTAATGCTTAGGATAACTGCTATCAAACGTCTCTTCGCCACGCATGTTGTGCTGAAGCGGACCGGAAAGCCCTCCGATGCACAAGAGTACAAGCAGGTTTACCTTCCGTACGACACGGCACCGACAAAATCGGAGATGGAGCGCGAAAGAAAGAAGTTGCAGCACGCTTATTACGGCCGTATGGAGAACCGCAAGCTTGTTGAAGTAAAAGAGGTGCCACAGAACGTGTACACATATGGGAAGGAGGGAATGTCCCTTCCCATTGCCATTTTCAAGGATCAGCAGGATCCTGTGATCGGGCCTGAGTGGACATACCCTGGTATCTACGAAAACAAGATCGCAGCGCAGCATTGGTATATGGAAGAACTCTTTGACAAGGAAAGTGTCAATAAATATGATTCAGTATGGCAGAAGCAGATCCTTGATAATCAGGTGAAGCGGCGAATGGCAAAAGTAGCGTTTCGAATGAGACAGGTGAACATGAAGGCGGTGGATCTCTTTCAGAAGGAGCGAGGCTCAGCGAAGAGAGGAGCCACTGGTGCTGCTCCTGGTGGTGGTGGTGGTGCTGGGGCATCGGGAAAGGGGAAAGAAGCGACTGCGAAAAAATGAGAGGCTAGTGTGTCGTCGTGGTTGCACCTCTGATGTTATGCTTTTGTTCCTTTCTCGTGCGTGCAATTACCAGAATTTCCTTAGTTCTTTCGGAAGATACAGTTTGTTCACAAGCGATCAACTATGTCGTTGTTGTTGTTGTCGCCTCCCCCATTTCTTTGTTGCTTCTGTGAATAAAGCGAAAAGGCAGCCTGCCGCTTTAGCAAAGGTATATCAGCAAACAATTATGAACGTGGCTCACGTCTTTGCAACCCTTCTTCTTGTGCTCTGTTGTTCTTTTGCGCAGGGAGCAAACCTGTACCCAGCTTGTGAAGGCCGCGAGGTACACGGCTCTGTAGGCGCAGGTGGCGAGACAACCGTGCATGTGGTGCCGCTCAAGGCAGAAAACCTGACACTGACATGTCTCGCGTACGAGGTCACCAGCCTCAGGGGCGGCATGAGCCGTCGTGGCTATGACCCATGCAGTGTGGAGCATCAGACGGAATTCCTTTACCGCCTCGTCATCCGGGCCAAGTGGAAGAACAAGACCACAAAAGACGTCATGATGACGGAGTACGATGTGAAGGACCTTGCCGGGGGATCTATCGGTGATATTGCTATTCGCACACCAGGGGAAAGCGAGTTCTCCCTTGTGTTCAAGAATCAAGCTTCACATAGACGGTGCTCACTTCGGGTACGTGCTATTATGGATTACAAGCTAAGCGCAAAGGAGGTTCAAAGCACTAAGTTGCCTGTGGTGGTTTCAGTGGTGCCTCGCACAGTGTACACCAGGCGCACAGAAACAACAATGTTCTTCCTGAAGTACCCTGAAGGAACGGATATGAAGAAGGCTAGTAAAGATATTGTAGCCCTTTCGGACCTGGACAACGAATGCGCAGACGGCAAGTTCAACGGACGTGTTATGCGTCTTCCATCAGTAAAGCAAGATTCTTATTTTGTGGGTAAATCCTTTATGGGGGAACGTGACTACTACTTCGATCGTCCTGAAGCTTACCGCATTTGCTACCGTGGAGAGGATGAAACAACAAGTTCGGAACTGGCTGTCGTTCGGGTGTTTGACGGTAACCCGTCATACTACCAGGTTGTCGATGGTCAAGACGACGACGGCCGTGTACTTGTTGGCGTTACCACGACGATCAAATTTTACGGGTACGACCTTGACACACGGCCTGACGGTGATCGGGCAAAGTTTGCGTACGACAGCGAGGATTGTGCGACGGCAAGCCCGGCTGGTGGTGTGCCTGAAGCGACCGACCTTGGGCCAAGCGACGACTACGGTCCCAACACCACATATACACTGTGGACGTGGACCCTGCGGGAAGGCGGCGCCTTTAAGATCTGCTACAAGCGTCGCGACGCGCACTGGACGGAGGTGCCGAGCATCGCCGATGTGGCGCCCACCCCCGCGCCGACCGCCGCACCATCTAACGTCACGCATGTCCCGCAGCCGACGGATCCCGTGACGAAGATTGACTGCCCCATGGCGCCGGAGAGCACGCGGGAAGAGCCGTGGGTCGCCTACAAAAGCGTCAAGCTGACCTTGAATGGGACCAGGGCGCCTGAGGGCTTCCTTCAAACAATCAGTCGTGTATTCTGTATTCCGCGTGCGGCACTCGCTGTGACGCATATGACCCACGATACCAAAGGACTTCAGGTGCTTTATATATCTATTGTTTGTGAGGACCTTGGTGAAGCGCGCCCGTGTGATACATTGGAGAGGCAGAACTACATTGTATCCCTCGGAAAGGAGAACTCGAGCATCCTGAGTGATATTGCCATCGTCTCTATTGAGGGAAGCACGCATATGTTTGCGTTCGGAGATGATCCCATTATAATCAGGAATTACAATGGACATGTTATGGCGATCTCCATCACATGTATTACAGTGCTCTTGATAACCGCCATGGGGGTTTACGGCGTGCTGAAGTATCGTGAAAACCGCCAGTATTTCATTCAATTTGGCGCGGACGACGAGGATGTGGGAGATATGTACGCCATCAGTGGCTCAGTGAAGGGAGGCGATGAATACCGTCGGCCTGTCAAGGATTCCGTAATTGAAGTCGAAGAGTAAGCTGGAGCAACCGGCAACCGAACGAACAATATGAAAAACAAGGCGCGTTTTTGCAGGGGGGACACGCTGGGTGTGACGTCAGCTCCCACCACCCGCAGTCCTTTCGTCTAACTCCTCTTTTTTTGCTTTACTTGAGACGGGGCAAACGAAATAGTAGAGGGTTTGTTTCCGGCGTTTAGGAAACCGAAGCTTTATTGTGCGCGTGTGCATTTTTTTTTATTTCGTTTTCTTCTTCAAATCCTTGCTTCTTTTTGTTGTTTCCTTTATTCATTTTCCTTGCTGCGGTTGAGGGCTTGGTGATGGCGTGTGGTGCGGCATCGCCAAGTGATGTGTCAAGTGTAGTTACCCGTTGCTGATCTTATTCTATTCTTGTTTTGGTCCCAAGGTGGTTCTACTATATATATATATATATCCAAAGGGTATAACGCATGTTTCGCCGCGGTGTTGTGCGGCGGTGTGCTGCGACCTCCGCAGCATCTCCTGTGGGAAAAAGGCCATTGCTTGTCATCACAAACACCTCTGGGTTTACGCATAAGGCCACGCGCCGTGTTGACGAACTGAACCTGGTCGCCTACGAGTGGCAACACGAAGAGACCGGGGCGGTGTATTACCACATCGACACAAATGATCGTAACAGTACATTCTGTATTGGGTTCCGCACTCCAGCCGAAAACAGCAAAGGGACGACACATGTCCTGGAGCACACAGTTTTGTGTGGTAGCAAGAAGTACCCTGTGCGGGACCCGTTTTTTATGATGCTGCGCCGATCATTGAGCAACTTCATGAACGCTATGACTGGAGCCGACTATACCCTGTACCCCTTCGCAACAACGAATGCACAGGACTTCCGAAACCTACTTGACGTCTACCTCGACGCTGTATTTCATCCACTGTTGAGGGAGGAAGACTTCAAGCAGGAGGGCCATCGTGTAGAGGTCGAGGCCAACGCGGCAAAGGGGAAGCGGTTGGTTTACAATGGGGTTGTATATAACGAAATGCGTGGAGTGGTGTCGGAGCCATCACAACACTACGCGCACTCGCTGATGAAAGTGATGCTGCCCGGCACACACTATGAGCACATATCGGGTGGGTATCCACCAAATGTGCTGTCACTGACGTACGAGGAGCTTGTGGAATTCCATAAACGGCACTATCACCCCAGCAACAGTATCACACTTACATATGGTGAGCAGAGCCCTGAACCATGGATGGCAATGTTGAATGAATACTTCTCTTCTTTTGCGAAGGGTGAGGTAATCACGGTACCTACGCTGCGCCCTGAAGACCGCTTTGTGCAACCAAAGCAGGTGACGCTACAGGGCCCACTGAATTCCATGGGTAATCCGCAGCGTCAGAAGCGCGTTTCTGTTTCTTTTGGAGTACAACAAGAGGATAATAAACTGGAGGACATGGTTGATCTGAGCGTGCTGGACTCTTTGCTCTCAAGTGGTCCGAGCTCTCCGCTTTATCAGGCGCTTGTTGAGTCACAGATCGGCAGTCGTTACGCCCCAATGCGGGGGTATTCGAGCTATCTCTCCTCACCCTTCGTCTCGTACGGTGTGGAAGGTGTGGATGAGGCCCGTCCTAATGTGGAGGAGGAAGTTCTAACTGCCATCGTTTCAACCCTGCAGAAGGTGCAGAAGGAAGGCTTCGACCAGCGGAGGGTGCAGTCCGTCATTTTCCAAGAGGAGTTACAGCAGCGGCACCGTGCTGCTGACTATGGGGTGAATCTCTGCACGGGCCTCTGTGCCATGGGGTTGTGTCGTGCTGCAAATAATCCCCTCGACTTTATTGATTGGTTACCGCACCTGCGACGTCTGGGCGAGAAGCAGGCGGCGTCCCTTCTCCCACGCATTTCGAAGAATCTCCTCAGCAATCCCCATCGCGCTACGGTCTCTGTATCAGCGAATAAGGACTACTTGAATTCTCTCCGCGACACTATTAACGAAATGGAGAATAAATTGAATGAAGGAGTAACAGAAGCTACGAAGGATAAGATTGAGCAAGAGACAGCGAATTGGCTAGAGCGTGTGCGTGCGCCACAAAACGGTGACATCCTCCCCACATTAACCGTTAAGGATATACCGCGTGAATCCTTTCAGGAACCTCCACCGCGTCTTGCGAAATGTAGTGATGGTTCCTCCTTGTACACCATCGCTAGCCCAACAAATGGGCTCGTCTACGTGCATGGGCTAGCTCCTTTCAGCTCATCGCTGATGGCATCTGTTCGAGGCGATGGTGGTGGCGTGTTGGCCGATGTTCCCCTATGGCATTCCCTCTTGGGTAACCTGGGTGCAGGTCCGTATTCTTTCAAGGAGCTCTCCATTGCCACAGAGCTCGTCTGTGGCGGTTTTACCTTTTCGCCCCAGCTTAACCAGTCATACTGCCAAAAGTCGGAGTATATTGCTGGCACCGCCTATGGGTTCTACACGACCAAAGAGAAATTGCGTGAAGCCCTGGAACTCCTCAAGGTTGCACTGCTTGAACCACGAACTTCTGCAGAAAGTGATGAAGTGCGTGGTCGGGCCCTTTCTCTTGCAAAAGCACGCTGCTCAGGCGTTATTCAACGGCTGCAGCATCAAGGCAACCGAATCGCTACTACACTGGCCTCCTCGCGCCTCACTCGTAGCGGGGCTGTGAAAGAGGAATGGTCCGGACTGGCGCAGTCCACACACGCCTCGGCTCTGCTTGAAAATCTCCAAAACAATGACGAGGCAGTCGTACGGAACGCCATTGCAGGGGTTTTGGATGCCCATAATGTTTTTGCAAAATCGCTGGTGTCAAATATTTGCCGCGGCATAATCTGGGCCACATGTGAAGAAAGACATCGCGACGAAGTAGAAACCATGTTGGCGGCCTTCCTGCGCGAGTTCCCAACTCTTCCATCGGAAGCGGCGGTGGCGGCCTCAACACGCCTTTCCTTTGCAGCGATGGAACGACCTTCCAGCTTGTTGCAGCTCCACAACAAGTTGCCCATCGACACTTCTTATGTAGGCCTCGCCATTGCAAATGGACTTGACTGGAGCCACCCAGATCAGGCGCCACTCCGTGTGGCGTGCCAACTGCTCAGCAATGAGTACTTACATCGCCGAGTTCGCGAGGAGGGGGGTGCGTACGGATCGGGCGCGAGCGCTACACTTAAGGGGGAGGTTGGCGGGGTCACCATGTCCAGCTACCGCGATCCGACGCCTGAGCAGACCGTCACTGTCTTCCAGGAGGCCGCTAGTTGGCTGAGTGACGCGGGTAATGTGACACAGATGAGGGTTGACGAGGCAAAACTCCGCATTTTTTCCAGCCTTGATGCACCTTATTCCGCCGATAGCTACGGTGAATCCTTCTTCCTTCACGATGTTCGACACGAGCAGAAACAGGCAATGCGGAATGCTCTATTGGAGGTGGAGCCCAAGGATGTTGTAAACGCGGCTCAGTACCTCAACATGAGTGGTGGCGTGGAGGCCGTGGTGGGTGTGCTGTGCCCCGAGGAAGCGACAAGGGAAGAATAGTTCGGTCACATGCTGTGTAACTGCCCTGGGTGTGCCGCGTCTTTTGTGTGTCTCTGGGAGGCGTGTGTGTAAGTGCACTGAGGGTTTGGTATTCATTGTCCTCCCCCTTCCCCTCCACACTTCTTCTCTTTTTTCTGTTTTTGATGTGCCTGTGAGAGGCAGTGCACAGCTTCGTGGTAGTTCTGTGTGCATGCTCACGCCGTGTCGGGCGTTGTGGGGTCCCGCCCAAGAGACACTGTGCCGGCGCCTTTTCTTGCGGTCCTGCTGTGCATTGGGGCGGGGTTGGCGGCGTGTGATCATTCTGACAAGAGTCACTCTCCTCTTTGGTGCGGCGTGGTTCGCTGCCGCTGCGTTGGGTTCCACTGTGGTGTTCTGTCGTCCCCTCGATACGCCGGAATACCTCATTCCGTACTACTTGCGCGATGTCACCACCCGCTTCAAGCACTACGCAACACACTATAAGCGCAAAGGTGGGCCCAAATACATGACTCTTGAGGACTTTGTGCATGCATTGTTGGCGTCGAAGAACAACGAGCCGTTGGATCCATATGTAATGGAGGGGATGAGACAGCTCTTTACCGAGCTGGACGCAGACGGAAACGCATATCTTAGCCTCTCTGAGTTCTCGTTCCTCATGTTGTTGTTGACAGCGAAAGCAGATGATATACGAACGCTTTTTTCTATTTTGGACAAGGACCGTGTCGGCTCACTGAGCCTTCACGAATTCGCGGGTGTGTTGCAGGGTCTCGGCTGCAGCCCCAGTGAGGCAGAGTCGATGACGCGCGGCAGCAGGAATGGCATCGTGCGACGGCTCTTCGGTGAGGATGGAGAGCGGCATTGCTCGTACGATGAGGTTTTGGAAACAATCGACGCCATCAATGAGGAAGTGTGGAAAGCCGAGTTCCGGCAATTCGACACCGACCGCAATGGCCATATCACTGCCGAGCAATTTGGGAAGCTCATCGCGAACCAAATGATTGGCAGTCATGTTCCGTTCTATATTGTCGAGAACATTCGCAAGATGCGCGGCAGCGGGGAAACTATGACTCTTGAACTGTGGATCAGCTTTCATCGCGTTATGCGGCACGCGGATGCGATTGGGGAGGCCGTTGAAGTGTTCACATCCTCTGGTCTCCTGTTGCGGAAGAAGGACTTCAACCGTGCGGTGAAGGCGGCAGGTGTGCCGCCCTTCACGGAGGTGGAGCTGGACCTCATAATGGCGCTCTTTGATCGCAACGGGGATGGTGTCCTGCAGTTTGACGAGTTTATCTCAGTGATGCAGCAAAAACTGACCTATCACTACGACGGTAGGAGTAGAAAACGAGATAAGAAGAACTTTCCAACTCGTTTCGTGGAGTGTGTCGGGGAGGTCTGGCCGAAATAAATACGCCTGGCTTCTCCTCGTGGCTTTTTTTTGTGGTTTCTGCGACTGAAATACGCTCCAACTTGTTTTATGTGGTTTTCTCCTTCAATGTGTGTATGGATGACTCTCACCCACCCCCTATATATATATTTTTTTTTTCTTTGTTGTTGTTGTTGATGATTGTTGTTGTTTTTTTCGGGGGCGGGCATGTTTTTTTCTTGCAAGGAACGCAAGTAGCACGCTCTATCAAAGCGCGTTTGAATAAGGGTCCCAAACACGTTAGTAATGCAGCGCACCGCGCCCAAGTTGGTGGCGGATTTGGAAAACCGCACGGCTTTCATGGTGCAGCTGCAGGCCCTTCTCCTTCAGGCAAAGCACATTGTGAGCGGGAGCCAGAAGGGCAAGCTGCAGGACATCCAAACAGGTATTGAAGAGTGGGTAAAGGAGGTGGGTAACGTTGGGGCGCCACGCCCGTCGATCTGCACTCCCTCGCCCAGTACCCCTGTCACACTAACGACAATACAGGAGGAGGAACAACAGAAGCAGCAGCAGCAGCAGCAGCGGGAACCCACCGAGGCGGATGGAGACAATGATACCAACAACAATACCAAGAGTTCCTCCAGTACCTTTCAGGCTTCGATATCAGCCACGCAACTTCCCGCCAGCTCGACACCGCGTGGTGATGAGCCTTTTTCATTTACTGTGGATATGCTCCGCAGCATGAATGGTGCAGGAGCTCCCGACCCGCTGAACAGTGTGGCCACGCTTTCTACGAGCTTTAAGAGCCGTAACTTGGAGCATCTGGCAGAGTTCCTCCGCATGCTGTGCTACGGGGACCTTCCGGAAAGTGTAAAGCTGCGCAATGTGGGACGCAACGCAGCGCGACTCACTATTGTCCGCTGCTTTTCGATCATTACAAACGCCCTACAGCAAGTCGTATGGGAGCTTTACGTGGATCCAGTGGTGGCAAAAGAGCCGTGCCTCGACAAGAATGGTGAATGCGATGCTCCTCCGCTTTTGTCGCCGTTTGTGCGCCTCTCGCACGATATCAAAGTGTCAACCAATGCGATTATGAAGTGTATGGAGCTTCTCACAGGTCACACAGAGTTTTCTTCGACGCGATTTGCATCTCAGGTGTGTGTTGATATTCTGAAACAGCTGCGCCTGTGCGTTGTTGTTTTCCAGCAGCGGATTTTGCGGGAGGAGTCACGCCGACTGCGCGTGGCGGAGGAGGCAAAGACGACGACGACAGCGACGGCAGCAGCGGGTGGTGACTCTTCTGCGAATGCGCAAAAGGCGAGACAGGCTGCTGTGCGAAGGGTAGAGGAGCTGCGGCGCACCATGGGGCCCTCGCTGCTCATCAGCATCGAGAAGCTCCTGGGCCTTGTGCGTCCCGCCGTGCGGTATTTGGTGACTGTCGCCTCGCTGAAAGAAACCGCGGGTGTGCAGGAGGAACGGACACTAAAGAATGATGTGAGTGCACACCTGTTCGGCCTAGCGCAGTGGGTATCGCCCAATGCGCGGCCAACGCAGCAGCAACAGCAACAACAACAACGACGGACCATGCCAGAGGATATAAGAGTGACGGAGCGCGAGACGGACGCCGCGAAAGAGCATTCGTCTGTCGATGGTGCAGAGCAGTCCGTGCCGCTGCCTGAATGCAATACCGTTGTGTCTCCAATTCCACTGTGGCCTCATGTTGCACACGTTGTTCTGGAGATGGTGGTGCCGGCTGCATTCTCACCGGAGTACATCTCGTGTGTTGCGCAGCACTGCGGTGACCAGAGTGATGGTCAACTCGTGGCGGTGCGGATCCTTCACGACACCGTGAAGAAGTTGGCGAGCACAGACCTTGAGGAGTTGCGATGCATGTTGGGTCACGCCACGTGGCGGAGGCGTCTTATGGACGGCATTCTTAATTGTTTAGTGTCGCTGCAGCCAGCGGTGCTGGATGCAGGCCTTGAGACTCTTCACTATATTGTTGTAGGTTGCCCCGACTGCCTGGGCTCCGAGGTAGGGTTCTTATACACTAGCGGTGTATTTGGGCTGCTGGAGTCCGACAATACGCCGCCGGCAATGCGACGGGCACTTCTTCGCCATGTTGTTGGCACATTCTTCAAGACTGCATGCGTCCCTGGTCAACCGTCTCTCTTGCTGCGTCTCTACCAACAGTTTGACCTCAACGTCCGGTGGCACCAGCTCAATGTCGTCCAACAGGCTGTCGCAACGCTTTCGAAGGCAGTGCGCTGTGCTGCTCCGGAGGGTTTTGCCGATGTGGTGGAGAAAGGGAGCGACGACCAGGAGACTGCAACCTTTCAGAGGTCGCTGCCATTTCTCGCACTTCAAGGTCTCTCACTCGCTGTGGAGTTACTCACCCTACATATCCCACATGACCCCGATGTGGTTGCTAATATTACACTGCCAAGGTTGACAAACCGCGACGAAAAAATGGAGGAGCAGCGCGTGGTTGACATCATCAACAGTTCCCCCCTCAAAGGCGTGAGAAAACTCTTTAATATAACCGATGAGGAGATGAACATGGATGAAAGTGGCAGGGCGGTAGAGAACAACTGGGCGCACCAGTACATACCACAACCAGCGTCACCAGAAACAGAACTGAAGGTGAGTCGTATCGCGCAGTTCCTCAGGGAGACACCGTCGCTGAACCCCGAGTCGGTCGCGGAGTTTCTCTCATACCCCGCCGTTCTCCCACTGCAGGTGTGTCGGGTTTTCATGGAGGCACTGCCGCTTGCCGGCATGAGTCTCGTGGATGGGCTAAAGAAACTCTTCACTCTTGTGCAGCTCCCCAAGGAAGGTCAACGAATCGAGAGGCTTCTCGAGTTCTTCTGCAGCGCGTATTTCAAGGCAAACTCTGTTGATGGCGTTGATATTGATACGTTCCCTTTTGAATCAGAGAACGCATGCTTCATTGCGGGAGTCGCGGTCCTTATGTTAAATACAAGCTTGCACAATCCGCATGTTTCGTCCGCAAAAATGTCGGTCTCCACTTTCCAAGCGCAACTTCGGGGGTGTAACGAGGGTAAAAACTTCCCAGAGCATTTTACCAAAAACATATTCGACGAAATCAACGCCCACTCATTGTCCAGCATGAAAGGTTTCTGGTCTGCTGGCATGAGTAGCGGTGTGCGATACGCGTCTGTACCTTTTCCTGGCAAAATGGACTCTATTTTCTTTTCAAATGAGGAACGTCAGGAATTAGCCTTTGGTGTGGTGCGGCAGCGGCTGGTGAGTGAGACGCGAGAGTTAATCTACCGTTGTAGTAAACTAGAGTCGGACTCTGAAGAAAACACATCAGTTTTTTGGTGCAGTGTTGCTCGGGACCTGTTCCTCAGCACGTGGCCGTCGCTCTGTGCTGTGTTCGGCGTCGCGGTGCATGAGGTGCAGGTGGCAGAGGAGGCATTGATGTTGTGTGTGAGGGGTCTGCGCAGCAGTCTCCTCGTCGCCGCAGCGTTCGGCCTGCACACAGAGTGCAGTGTATCTCAACTCGCGCTGCTCCGCATGGCTTCTTTCGAGCCGATGCGTACTTTGTGTCACACCTGTGTGCTGGAAGTAGCTGCATCTCCGCACAGCGTGCACTTCACTGCGCGTTGCTGGACGCCGGTGGCGGAGCTGCTGGTGTCGACACGCAAGCGGCAGGAGACGTTGCTCGTCGAGGCGGAGTCAGTCTTTGGGCGTGTGGAGGAATTCACGCGTGAGTCTTGCGGTGGCTGCGGGGTGCGGGACACTGACGCATCGCCCCTCGTGAAAAAGGTTGTGCAGGAGGCGCTGCGGGGCATGACGGCAGTTGTGCGGGACACAAGTATCGACAGCGCAACCCTCGCCGCCGCGCTGTACGTGCTGCGGCGTGCTGTCGGCTACTCCCTCATCTCGTACGAGCAGCAGCAGGGAGCGGTGGTGACAAACCTCGTTAATGTGCGTGACTTTAGTGCGATCATTGCGCCTGCGCTTGTTGACGTAGTCGAAGCGCGGAGCGGAAAGGGCGATGAGTGCCTGCGTGTCATCGTGGAGTTTGTCGTTGATGTCCTCGCCACCGTGTGGAGCTCGTGTGTTTGTGGGGTGGAGCCGCCTCACATGGTCTCGCAGGCTGAGTTGGCGGAATGTCACACCTTCTTCCAGCAGTGCTACGAGCGCTGTGCAACGTCGACGGTGGTGCGCATGCACGTGCTTCAGGGCGTCAAGGAGCTTGTCTCACGCACGGTCCACGCAGCAGGAGCGACTACGACAAAGCCGGTTGGTCTGCGCTTTCAGACATTCTACAACATGACACTGATATGGCAGCGACTCTTACAGCCTCTAGCGCGGGCACTGTGCGATAAGGACAGCGTAGGGACAGAAACATGCAGTCTCGCCGTGCACGTCCTTCGGAAACTTGTTGTTCTCTGCTCAGGAGCGGGTAGCACGTGTGTTAACATTCAGCTGGGGAAGAAGGTGCGCAATATGGTGTTGTTGCTTCTCTCAAGCGTGGCGTACATTGGAGGTATGTGTAGTGATATGGATAGTGCGCTGTCGTGCCTGACACAGTTCTCCACCATCTGCACGACTGTGCTGAATCATGACGCCACTATCCCCTATAAGGGTGAAACTGCCCTCTTGGATGAGGTCCATGAATCATGTTTCGATGCGGTTGCACCAAAGAAATTACACTTGCTGCTCCGACGTATCATTGAGGCCGTGCAGCAAAAACCGGATATACTTGTGCTCAATTCCCTGGAACAGTTATGCCTGTTGCTGCGTTGCCAAACGCAGCAGACACGGACAGAAGTCGTCACTGCCTTGCGTGCACTTGTCATTCAGCTTGAGCCGTCGCAGCTGCGGCACCTCGCTGTGCATCTCTCTGATACTGTGTTGGAAGCCTCGCTGGGTCATGCGACAACGGACTACAAGGCGTCTGCGTGGGATCCTAGCTATGTGAGCTTTTCCCTCTTCGACCTCCGTGTGCCGTCGACGATGCGGAAATGCTCCATCACGTCCTTCCGCGTCACTCTACCACTCGTGATGAACCTTATGTCGCATGAGCTGCTCTCAGAGGCACCCAGGGAGCACTTGGCATCTGTCACGACGGTGGTGATGCGGCAGTGCATGGTTCCACTTGCCGTGTCGCCACGCGCCACGTTTCAGATGCGCACAACTGCTGTCCGTGCGCTGATGCAGTGCGCCGCAGTCTGTACCACACGCCAGTCTACCAGCGGCGACGTGCAGTGCCTGCGCGCCGTTGCAGACTGCGTTGGTCTCGTGTTGTACGCCTCGCGGGTGCCGGTGCGGTTGGTCGTGCCTGCCGACGCCGACCACGTAGGCGGCTGCTGGGTCGCGGAGAAAAAGTCGGCGGCGCTCGAAGCGTACATGCAGGCAGCGGCTGGCGCGGTTCAGGCCCTGTCACTTGCGGAGGCGTACGAAGTGACGGGAAGCCGCAACAGCGCCACTCTCCGTGTCGATGTGGACGTCGAGACCTTGGAGGAGCAAGAGGAGTTCACGCGAACGACACGCGGCAACTGGTCTGTGCCCCGCGGAGACGTGGCCACGGACGAGCAACTGGTTGAATACTGCACGCTAATGGCACAGTTGCTCTCGCCGCTCCCCAAAGTGCTGGACGCCGCCCCGCAGCGCATCCCTAACGAAGACGGCACTGAAGAATTGCGGCAACAGCAACCGTCATGCGCTGTGTGGGTGCCCCCGACTGCAGTGCACGAGGTGCTAGCAGAACTGGTGTTAGAGGCTGCCGGCATATTCTTTGCGATCCTTTGGCGAGTAAATTACTTTGTTGAGATGGAGAATTTCATGGCGAAAGCAACGCAGAAGGGACGCGACACACCACCTTTGAGCAAAAGCAGCGCTCTCCTCCCCCACGCCGCTGTTCGGGGTGCACTCAACGCCTTCCTGGTGCTCGCTTTGCAAATGGACCTTTCCAAGCTTCGTAATGTTATTGTGGAGGTTTTGCGAGCTACGGCATGTGTGCAAACATCGACGCTCAGCACGCGGGAGGCGCAGAAGATAAACGAAGGTACGGTCGAAAGTGCTGCCATGCAGCGCTTGAGCCCGCAGGAGCACCAGCACATACGAAGCTGCAATGTAGGAATGTACCAGGAGCTCTCGTCGGTGGTGTCTCATTGGATCAAGACGACTGTGCAGCAGACGGACGCCGAAACGTCGACGCTAGATGGCGACCGCCGCGCAGAACTTCAGGCAGTCGTGGGGGGCGCGGATGTGTTTACGGGATTGGTGCGGCTACTGACCACCACGGCGGGGGTGGTGATTGTCGCAATTCGCGACTACTTGGCGTGGTACATCACCGTCCACCGGCACGACGTGGCGCTGGTGGGGGAGGAGACGACGCTGGATGCCGCGCCGCTGCCCCCGCCAAGGGCGAATGGAAACGAGGAGACGGATGAGTAGAGCAGCGTGGCTGGTAGAGACACGAAAATGAGAAGAAAAAACAGTCAGAAACAAATGCTTGCTCTCTGCCCAAACTGTCATCTGGCAGGGTAGGAGTATACCTTGTATTCATCTACTGCTTACTCTGTTTGCTCCACCACCCCGGTTCCTTTGCATTCCGTTTATATTTATCACTATGTTTGTAGGGGGGAGCGCTGCGCCGTGACGCACGAATGACTTATTCGTTCTGTCCTCACTTCTCTCTCTCTCTCTCTCTCCCTTTCCTGTCGTGTGTCTTGGCTTTCTGCTTTTTAATCATCATCCGCAAGACACGGATGCATTGGTCTGCCACAGGTGGCAGGTAGCATCACGACAGCAACAACTCAGAGAGAATAGGAGAAGGTGGGGGTCTGCAAATGTCTCCTGCTCCTGTGCGGGTTGGGGTTGCCTTGTCAGGTGGAGTCGACAGCGCCGTTGCAGCGTTGTTTCTGCAGCGGTGTGTACCTCTGTGGCGCGATGTGGAGGCGCTGTGGAGTATGACGCGCCCTATGTCACTGGGTGTTGTTCGGGATGCTCTTGAGGAGCGTCGGTCGTGCTCAGAGATTGGAGTGCGTGCGTCTGTCGCAAGGGCCCGTCACGATCCCGCTGCGGCTGTTCATTACTTCCCTCTTTTTATGAAGAATTGGGAGGACGTGGCGGAGGGTGGTGACCAGCGCTGGTGTGAAGCCGCACAACGGGAATACAACGACGCAACTGATGTTGCTCGCTCGGTCGGTCTGCTGCAAGGGGACGAGATGTTACCGCTGCACAATTACAGCGCGTGCTATGTGGAAAAATGCTTTGAGCCGATGTTGAGTGCCTACGCTCGCGGGGCGACTCTCAACGTGGATGTCTTGTGCAACGCAGAGGTGAAGTTTGATGCCCTTCTTCGTTCACTGCTTGCCACAGGGAATGCGCAGTATCTTGCAACGGGGCACTACGCCCGCACTGTGGCCTTCCCGCATAATGAGAGCGACAACACGACGGCGAGACGGGTTGGGATTGCCAGGCCCTTCTCGGCAAGGCGTGACCTTAACGATCAGACGGTGTTTTTGTCTCGCCTCTCCCAGTTTCAGACGGCACGGGCAGTCTTCCCTCTGGGTCACGTGTTCGAGCAGAAGACAGATGTGCGCGCTGTGGCTGCTCATTTTGGTTTGACACAGGTGAGCGCCAAGAAGACGAGTACAGGGCTATGTTTTGTAGGCAACCGCTACAGAAACGCAGCACGGGGTGGTGGCAGTGGCTTCAGCACTTTTCTCGAAGAGTACATTTCCCCGAACGACGCCATGTTGCGGAGACTGACGGCGGAAGGAAAACAAACAATATTTGTTGATGCCGAAACGAACAGTGTTGTGGAAACATCACAACTTGTGTTGATGGGGGAGTGCTGTCAGCCCCTGTTGCCAGCATACAGTCTAACACTCGGTCAGATGATTCGTGGGAAGAGTAAAGATGGGGCTACAGCGCGATACTATGTGCAGGGCAAGGAGCTGTTTGCTGTGCAGAGATGTGAGGAAAAAGAACAAGAAGAACATGTGCGTTATCTGCGCACCGTGAGGCTGGTTGACCGCTGGGACCACCCGCTGCTGTACGCGATGGTGGCGGAGCTGCGGGATGTGTTACTGACCGTGCCACCGCACTGGTTTAGCGAGAAGCGGGCCAGTGATGTGCAACTGCGCTGTCATTGTTGCGCTCGGCATCAAGACTCTCTCCGTCCAGCGACAATGTGCTTCGCGTGGAGCAATCTGCGTGACGAGGCGGCGGATGGCTGCATTCGTGTTTCCCATGCGTCGGTGATGTTCGACGAGCCGGTTCGTGCCTTGACGACTGGGCAGGCTCTCGTGGCGTATGGGTCACTCACGAGGGACGGCGCGGTGGGGGATGCCGCGGAGTGGTTTGTGCTGGCGAGTGGTTGGATCGCGTAGGCAATGCACACATGCAAATTGGTGTGGCTGTTAAATGGCGCTGCCTCATGAGCTGTTGAAGGGTTAGAGCGTGGTGTCTCATATCCTTATTCGCCGCTGTTTCGTCTGTCGGTGTGTGCATCGATATGTATGCCGTAGGGGAGGTGCTGTTTTGGGTGGCACATCACGTTTCATCTCGCCAAAGGCTGAACGCATTGTTGGTATTGGTCGCGTGGCGGTTGGCCGGCTCGGTAAGTCAGCCACCGCGTTGTCCATTAATGATCTGCAGGACGCGAATATGACGATGTGGGACGTAGGCATACTCATCACTATCCCGTCTCTTGCGTCCCCGTAGTTTATGCAGGTGCACCACCTCGCGACAGTGTCGGGGCTGGTGCGGGAGAGCCCGGCGCTGGTGCTGCGCACCGTCGGCACCGGCGGACGCCGTGCTGAGCCTCGGCGGTGCCACTTTTGCGGAGTGACTGAACAGCAGTGAGGCGGGCGGCGACTTGCAGGAGCCTCACATCCCGCAACGCTACGATCGCTATGCGCAGTGGCACATGCGGCGCTACGGCCTCACACGCGAGTAACTCACGATGGTGCCGGCGCTGCTGGGCAACAAGGCCGCGCGCCACCCCGACGCCATGTGCCGTGCTCCCCGCACGCTGGATGGCGTGCTGCGCTCGCGCCGTATCGCCTCGGTGACGAACCTGCTGGAGTGAGCGCGTCGTGCCAACGGTTCGGCGGCGCTTATCGTGTCAAACGAGACGCACTACACAAGTTACTTTGCGCGGCGCAAGATGGACGGCTCGAAGCAGGCTGTTGTGAGCGTTGGCGAAGGATCTGAGCCGCCGTTTTCGACCGCTTTAAACGACATAACCCCCGACCTCTTTTCCTGCAAGCGGGCGGTCAGACAGGCGTTGCGCGCCGCTCAACTAGGCACGCGTGACATTCAGTTCTTTGGTCGTTACGATTGCTTCCCCATATGCCTCATTCGTGCCATAGAGGGAGTGGGGCTGTGCCCAGTAGGGAAGGGTGTTGAGTTCGTGGTGGCCGCATACCGCAACATGCTCGCCAGCAATGGTGTCGTTGGCGTGTCAAAGTTTCCCATCAACACGCATGGTGGGTTGCAGCGCTTCGGTGCCCCATGGGAAGTGCCGGCAATGTACAATGTCGTGGAGGCAATCGAACAGCTTTCAGAAGCGGCCGGAAGCTGTCAGGTCTTTCCGGTGCTGGGGCGGGCGTTGGTGTACGGCAACGGTGGCATCTTTTCCGCATCATACGTTGTCATGCTTGGTGACGGTGCCTATTGAACACAAACACACCTTGGCTTTGTTTGCTCTTTCCCTTTGCGTTCTCCCATCTGCCTACTGGAGTGTGGCCCCTTCGCCGGCTAATTGTTGTGTGTGTGTGTGTGTGTGTGTGTCTGCTTGTGTGTCTGATGACATCTGTGGGGTGTTTCTGCGCTATTGTTCCTCGCCCCTCCCCATTCGCCCTTCATATTTTGTTTTATTCTGTTGCTTTTCCCACATGTGCGGGTCCGTGCAGTAGTGTAGAAGTGCGCATGCCAGGGGGAGAAGGCGTCGTTAGCAAAGTACTCGCCGCGTTCCTCTGCGTGACGACGGCGCTCAGCCTTGCGACGACGGCCGTCCCGCGCGTCTTCGGCCTCGTCCCGGCACACACCTTCTCGGTGCATAGCTACCCGTGGAACGTCGTGAGCTACATTTTAGTGGAGCAGAACATCCTTCTCTGCGTGTGCAGTGTTGGTTACATGCTCACAGTTGGTGTGACTGTGGAGGAGGACGTGGGAACCTCGACTTTCCTGCAGCTAGTTGTGGTGACGGCCATCGCAACCGCCGCCGTGCTGCTTGTGCTGAGTGCGGTGCTGTACCAGGTGGGCTTCTTTTGGTTTCTGCAGTGCTACTGCGGCGCCTGGCCCATCGCGGCGGCGCTCCTCGTCCCGTGGGTCGCGGCGTCTCCGGCGGCAGGTGCGTTTCCCACAATGTTGTCGCCGAAGGTGCAGCGGCAGCACGTGCCGACAATGCTCCTCATCTTTGCACTTGTAGTGGACATAGTGTTTCGTAAGCGTTACAAGATCACTGAGGAAGACGTTGATAGCCAAACCATCTTCCCCGGCAGCGTCTTCATCCTTGCGTTTGTGGGGCTATGGACCTCGTGGCTGCTGCAGCGGCTCTTCCGCTTGAAAGCAACAATCGCCTTGGGCGTTCTGCTCTACCCGGTTGCCTCGGTCTGCTTCGGTGCCAAGTCGCAGCTCGGCAACAGCAACAATAACAACAGCCATGCTGGTGATACGCTGGATACGGGGGCGGTGTCCATATCAGTTCTGCATAGCGCCGCGAACATGACCCTGTTGCCGGGGTCGACGGAGGAGGAGGCGGAGCGGCGGCGCTCCATTGCACTCGCAGCACTCAGCACACGGCTCCAGCAGGCAGTACCCACCCAGGCGGGTGAAAGGAGGAACGTCATGCCAGTCTGATCCCATTTTGTTGCTTCGCATATCAATATTGTAAGAAGAACGGTGGGGAGAATGCATCACGAGCGGAAAGAAAGCTGGTGGGAACGTGGTGTGTCTACTACTATCCGTTTTTTCTTTACATATATATATATATATATATATGTTTGCGCACTTGTGTTTTTGCTGTTGTTGTGAGTCCTACGTCTCGGGTGCGTTTGTGTCTATGTGTTTGTGCACGAATGTGGTTGCGAGTCTCCGTCACTTTTCTTTCACTTGTGCCACAAATTATCTTGTTTTTCTTCACTGTCTGTTTTCTGTATTCCCCTTATCACTGCTGCTGTAGCTGTAGGGTCTGAAAACACCAGCAAGCAGACGTGTGGCCACCGCAATGGCTGCCACAGAGAGCACCCCTCACTCGCAGGCCGGAGGTCCCGCCGCTGGCAGCGGCATCTCCGCACGCGACGCTATCGACATATTGCTCTACGACGACAATCAAGGACAGCGCAAGCGCAAGCTGGTGCTGGAGCTCAACACACTTGTGCAGGGTACCGAATTTGCCGAGCAGTTTCTTGACGATGACGGACTGAACGTTATCCTGCATCAAATTAAGACCGCAAGTGGTAACCTACAGGCAGCGATGCTCAGCGTGTTGCGCAATCTGCTGGTATACGTGAACGCGGTGGAGCAGATCGCGGAGTCGCCAGAGCTCGTGGAGCGCATATACGGCCTGCTGGTGCCGCCACCGGACGGTGGGGCGGTGCCGCTGAACATCGCGAAGCCGACTCTGGAGACACTCATCGTCATCTGCGGCATGGTGGAGGGCGGCCACAAGATGATCAACCACGCGGCGAAGAAGCGCGTCGGCGTCGGTGTGCTCCCGTACGCACCGCTTGTGCCGCTGCTGAGCGGCGCCGACCTGCTTGCGACGCACAGCACACTGCTCTTCATGAACATCCTGCTCAAAAAAAAGAAGGAGGCGTCGGGCATGAAGGCAAAGAAGTTGCTGTTCCGCTGGACGGAGTGCGGCGTCGTGTCGGTGCTGAAGCGCCTCACCGCCATTGAGGACCCCGATGTGGCGAAGCAGCTGGGCAGCTTCCAGCGATTGTCGAACCTCACCATCCCGCGCAGTTGGGAGGAGGCGAGCAAGTACCGCCAGCAGTACGAGGAGGCGAGGCGCAAGTGCGACGCCGCGATGGAAGCGCTCTACGTGTTCCAGCAGCAGCAGGCAAAGGTGCGCATGTTGAAACAGGAGCTCGAGCGCGCGCGGGAGACGGTGCGTGCCATGGCACTCCTTGTGCCGTCCGCGTCGGAGAATTACCACCCGGCGCGTCGCTTCCGCGCTGGCGGCGGCCTGCACATCGACCAGCTCGCCCCCAGCAGGATGGAGCCCATCGACGTGGCTGCGGCGCAGCGCGACATTAGTGATGCACGCATGGCGCTGGTAGAAAGGTTTGTCACCGCCGACGATATCCGTCCCATTGTGACAAAAGTCCTGGGTGCCCGCACCACGCAGTGGGACTTTGACGCCGCTCCGCCGGGCGGCGACGACGACGATGGTGATGACATGCTCGCACCGCCCTCTGACGACGAGGACGCGATGCTGCCGCCGAGTGACGGAAGTGACGTGCCGCAGCCAGGAGATGATGATGATGATGATGATGGTGGTGGCTGCAAACACAGCAGTAATAGAAACAACAACGGCGAGGTGGTGCAGCAGTCTTCTGCACCCAGCGGGGCGGTGCTCCAACAGCAGCAGCCAGTGCCCCCTGGTGGTGAGGCTCTACCGCCATCATTGCCGCCTGATGGTAATTCGTCGAACGGCGCCGCACCGCCGCCGCCACCGCCGCCCCCACAAGTATCGGCAGGGGGAACGAAGGGTGCACCACCACCCCCACCACCAGGGGTGAAGAAGGCGCCGCCAGCAGCAAAGGGTACAGCAGCAGCGGCCGGACCACCACAGGTGTATTACAAGGGACCTGCCCCGACGAAGCGGATGAAGCCGCTGCACTGGGACAAGGTCCCGCTTCCTGAGACGGCCGAGTCTGTGTGGTCGCTGATCCAAGCGGGCAAGGCGTGCGACACCACTTTTGACTACACGGAATTCGAGCAGCTCTTCTCGCAGAAGGAAGTGGAAGCGAAACAACAGGCGTCGCCACCGAAGCCTCAGAAGATCCTCCTTCTACGCGAGGATGTACACCGCAATCTCTCCATTCTTCTCCACAAGCTACCGAGCATCCCCAATGTGCAGCGGGCGCTGCTCGAGCTGGACACGAACGTACTCTCGCGTGAAGTACTGACTGCGATGCTTTCACAGGCCCCGTCAGATGAGGTCCGCGCAGCGTTCTTGAGGAACGCGGGGAAGAAGACAGAGGAGGCGTATGAGCCACAAGAAAAGTACATGGCGATGATGATCGCCATGCCGGAGTTTAAGCGCCGTGTCGGCGCGTGGCACTTTTCACTGGAGTGGGAGGAAAGCCAGCATGCCGTCCTGAGGCCGATACACCGTCTACAGGAGAGCATGAGCGTCGTGCTCAAGAGCAGGCACCTGCCGTACTACCTTGGCTTGCTGCTGAGCTTCGGAAACATGATGAACTACGGAGACGCACGCAAGGGCAATGCGGGTGCAGTAAGCCTTGGCCTTCTGGGCAGGTTGGAGCTGACGAAGGACAATCGAGGGAAGATGTCGCTCTTCACCTACCTTGTCAATACCGTCAAGACGCGTCGCCCCGAGGCGCTGCATCTTATTGATGAAATGAAGCCGGTGCTAGCTGCGAACGTCATGCAGATCAGCTGGAGTGACATGGAGTCGGCAGTGCAGGAGGCTGAAAAGGCAGTGGCGGTATTCCAGAATCATTGCAGCTTCGTGAAGAGGAAGCTGGTTGAGCTTGGCACCGACGCGGAGGACCCATTTATCCCTTTCTCCGTCGAGTTCACAATGCGGGTTAAGGCCGAGCTGCAGGAACTAAAGGCACAGTTCGAAAAACTGGACAAGACGCGCCTGAGCTTTCTGCAGTACTTTGGCATCACCGACATGCGCAAGAAGCCGGAGGATGTCTTCGTGGAGATCCTGCCGTTCGTGGAGCGGGTGCGGGGGGCGGTGCAGGACATGGTTAGGGAGGAGCGGCGCCGGACGAAAAAGGGGCAGAAGTTAGGGGACGGACATTTTGCCCACGTGGTGGAGAAGCTGCGGGAGCAGGTCGCACTATAAGACGGACAGAGAGATATTCGATCCCTTCCTATTTGTTTCCTCTCTCTCTCTCTCTCTCTCT